TATATATATATATATATATATATATAGAATTTGATTAACTTTTATTTATGAGCTCTAAATCTATGAATTCTTTATCTCATTGAATGAAAAATTTAATACAAAATATACTTTGAGATAAAGAAGAGAGAGTATTAACTATGAGAGAGAGAGAGAGAGATTTGAATTTGAAATTCTGTTCAGTTTCATACAGTATATCAATATTAAGTATAAGTTTATATGACTTCCAACTCGTAGTGCACTGTATATAAGGCCTAATCTATTATTGATTGAAAATTAATTGATCGATGACTTCCACTGTGCTCTCTCTCTCTCTCTCTCTCTCTCTCTCATAGTTAATACTCTCTCTTCTTTATCTCAAAGTATATTTTGTATTAAATTTTTCATTCAATGAGATAAAGAATTCATAGATTTAGAGCTCATAAATAAAAGTTAATCAAATTCTATATATATATATATATATATATATATATAAATTCTGTACAATTTTCTATGCACTGGTATTAATTTACTTAGGAATCTACTTCTATCTAATCGTTAGCACAATTTATTAGTAAACTGTGATTGATCAAAAGTTAATTTGATTATTTAAAGAATTTATTTCCTTTTAAATGTATTATTATATTAGTTTTAGTTGTAAAACTAAAATTTTGATATAATTTAAAAAGCTATTTATGAAAACTTTATCAAATATATTTATAGTACAAATTGTACGTTAATAAATTGTTTCAAGGTATATTAATGCAGATTATTTCGAGTGAATATAAAACAGAATTCACTAATCAATGGCTTGACTGTCAGGCTAGCAATCACTGCAGTGAAGCCTACGCTTGACGTCTATATTTCATTGAACTTCGCAAACGGCTTTCCATTTGATATGAATCGCGAAACTCATGGCAAACAAAAAACTAGTCATTAATTAATCAAAAAAAGTTTTTTCCTAATTAAAAATCTAGTCACTCGAGTGATAAGTCTATTGAAATTAATGCCAAAAATACACATCCATTCACTGGCTTTTGGCATCAGAGCACTGGTAGGTTTTCGTAGGGCCAGGGATGGCATTTGGAGAGTCAGTGGACTACATGTGTTTAAATGCAAAACCCATTTATATTAGTGTTTATTAAGTGATTAATAGTAAATAACGTTAACTCGTGGGACAGTAGCGTATAAACTATTCAATTAAATGCTACATAAGCCTAACCCCCGGCCAAACCGGCAGTCCATTAATAGCCAAACCATTTGAGTCTATAATCGGACGCTTAGTTTAATTATCAGTGAAACTAGTGATGCATTCACTCAACGAAAGCCATGCAATGAATACGTAATCAATGAAAACCAACGATTTTTTCGTACAAATGATTTACAAATAGAAAGCAAATGACTATCGGTTTTGAATTAGCCCTGGAGTTTAATTTGATGAGACAATCAATCAGTACGTACAAAGTTTTAAGGGATAGGGATCGAGTAGGAAAAATTAAATAAAATTATTTAGAGTAGGTGGGTTAATTTTAAAAAAGTTAAATATTGAATACAGTACATATTATACTATATTAATAAACTAATTACTTTAATTACATTATTAGCCTTGTTATATTTTTCATGTTCCTAGAAGTTTACAATTGGTTAATCAACTTGAAAATTTTTATATGTGAGTGGACAGGTAGGTATGAGCATCGACAGTGGGTGTTAGGGGTAAGTATACAGTACGTTGACTTACCGGTTGGCAATCCCATGCTTGAGGTGCAGCCGTTGCGGACTAAACTGCGGGACAAACATGTCGTACACGAGATCGAAGTGGCCGTCGATTGGCTGCAAATGAATGACATTCGGCTGATGAACACTAGCGGACAGTCGTATCACTTGAATGGTCTTCCGGTTATGTTTCCTTTGCTGATGGGACGGGTAGTTCCACTCGAACTCCGCGCTGTCCGACTGCTTCCGGGCCTCGAAGTCGCCAAATGAGTCGTTATCATCCGTGTCGTCACCGGTAGTCGACGTGTCCCTCATTGTGGGTGAACTGCCGGCGCACAGCACCCATATCTGGTGGTCGTCCACACCGTTCTCCACGGACCACAGGCGCCGGGGCTGGGGATCAGTAGCTATAATCTGGACGACGTTCAGCTGTTGGCCGTGAAACACGACGATCCGGTTGAGGTTGGGCTGACCCGCGTATATGCGGCCCTCGACTACCAGCGCGTTGTCGCTCCACTCGCATATCACGTGCTGCTCGGTGTCGGTGGCGCCGCATAGGGTGAGCCCACTCTGTGGGATGACGTCCCGCCCGTCCAACTCGTGTATGAGTCCGTCGCAGCCGCCCGAGTATATCGACACACCGTTCCCGTGGAAAACCCACAGCCTTTCCCTATGTTTAATGATTGTTAAGGATATGTGTTTAGATTTTAATGATAATATTGGAGTTACTAGATTTTTATATGAACTAGGTTATTAAGTAGTTTTGCATAAGAACTGTAATTTACCTCAAAAGTAAGCATAAATTAATTCAATTGTGTTTAAATTGGTATATTTTGGTGAGTCATACACAGCGCTTACAAATACTAAACTATATAATCTAAAACTCATCAAGACCAAACAGCCTTACCTAGTGATATCACTGTCCCCACTGACCGACACGGCGTCGTCCTGTATGAGTAGGGATGACACGTCAGCACCGGTAGCCGTGTCCTTCCGGTCGGACACTCGACAGCTGTAGGCGCCGGTATCGGTGCGCTCCAACTGTCCAATTTGGACCCTGGTAGCATTGTTCATGATGGTGGTACGTTGGTTACTCAGTAGGAGTTCCTCGTTCTTGAACCACTCGACGCTGATGTCCGACTCAAATGTCTCGTACTTGCAGTCGATGGTAGCCATACCGCCCACCGGTTCCCATTGGAATCGGGGACTCACTTCGACTAACGGCGCGACTGTAAGGGGAAAGACATTTAATTTTTAGGTTATTTAAATGTTATTTTTATATTATATATTTATTGTATAAAAACTGTAATTTGTGTTAAAAATTTGTATAAATTAATTGATTTTTGTTATAATTTATATAATTGGGGCGAATCTAGTAGCTATACTTATTATTCATATTTTTCTTGATTATTTATAAAATTAAATTATTTATTTATTTTAAAAATTAAATCTCATTAAATTATACTGTTTGTACGTAAATTAAATGTGTTTTTGATTTGAGTTTTGCGTTTATGATAATGCAGAATGTACCAGTATAACTTGTGTAGATTGTGAGAAACTGTAATTATTATTTGAACTTTGTCTTTAATCAATTCAAATGTTATATTTTTAATAAAGTTGGATGCGATTATCACTGCGGTATGCTAAATTAGAATCACTTTAAATTTTATAAAAATTACCCTGATGCAAAAAAAATACGAGAATTAATTTTATGTTAAAATTGTATTTTTAGTGCAGAATATTCTGTACGAAAAATAAAACACAAAATACTGACCACTCGTATGCAATATATGTGTCTGTTTGACGAGCGGGTTGTTGACGGCCTGACACGTGTAGTTCCCGGTGAACGACAGCTGAACATTCGTCAGGTATAGGGAGCCGTCACTGAACACCTAACACATCGATGGGGAACGGGATGTGAGCGGCAAATAAAAAACAAATCATACGTCAAGCCATAGATTCATTAATCTTATAGGCAATCAATTTTGTGGCAAAAACTCGATAATAAGTTTTTTTTTGGTGAAAAAGTTGTGGACACTAGCGATTAGGGCTTACCTTCATGTTAGGTATGTTGATGTTGTTGAGGTCCACATTGTACCTGGTCCATTTGATGGCAGGGGGCTGGGGTTCGCCCACTATATCGCACCGGATCTCAACGTTGTCGCCGACGTGCGCCTGTACTACGTTTATGGCCAGTGATTGGTCTAAGGTTACCATAGTCACACCTGGTAGGGGTTAGAAATGTGTACTTGTTAATTTAGTTTATTTTGTTAAAGTTGTCAATATTAACTTGTATAATAAATAATTTTTGATTATAATTTATTTTGAAACATGTTTAAATAATTGTTATGTCATTATAAATGTAATTATAATTGTGTAGGTTCAAACATTTTATTATTAGCTGTATTTCTAATAATTATTTTTAAAAATCAAGAAATATTTTCAAGAAACCCTGCTGATTTAGTTGATATAAAATAATTCATCTAGAATAATTGAATTAATTAATTTTATTTTGCAATCTAAGCAAATGTTGGCAATAATTTATTTTGTTTTATTTGAAGTTTAGTAAATATGAATATGGTTAATTATGTATGCAAAAATGTTTGCAAATTATCTTTTAGTTAAATATACCATAAATTGAATGAATGTCTAATTACGGTATTTATTGAGTTTTATTATTTATTTATGAATACCATTAGTAACTTGACATTGATCATCATTATATTATATAAATACGATATATTTATTTGGATTTATATAAATATATAAATCCCTAATTTCTATGTTTGTGTGTTTATGTTATGCAACGATAAGGTATTTAGTTATTTATCTAAAATGTCCAGGAGCTTAATTTCTACTATTCATGCTCTTATTTACAGTATGTATTATGCATTATATATTTATAAACTTTAAAGGTTAAAATGGTTTTTATTAGAGTTTCAATTTATTATTCACTTTAGTAAACAAATTAATTATTTAAACATATATTGCTTTGAATTCCCATTTATGTGACATACGAATAAAATATTTAATTTGATTTTGCAAACAGGTAATTTAAATTAAGTGTTAACATAAATTATACTGAAATTATTATTTGTTAGTAATAAATCAAAGTAATCTAGCATTTTTACATGCATTTTGCATTTTTACTATAAAATCCATTATACTTGTATACTTGAAAATGAACTTAAAATTATTGAAATAAAATCTTGACAATAAATATTTGAAACAATTCGAAACCATAATTTAATATTGAGCTAGCATATTTCAGTATTATAGTGGACAATTGATTTGATCAAAATATTATGTCACAATTTTATACACTATGTAAACAGAATCGCGAGGAAATCAAAGCTACTTTTGATCAACAAAATAGCGACAAAATGAAAAAGTTTTTGTTATATAATAACCGGAGAGAGAGAGAGAGCCTAAGAAAGTGTGTGTAAAACGAAAAACTCCTACTCAAAGGGCATTTCAATTGCCAATTCAATAAACACAACAGTATTTTCATTGTATAGAGAATATAATGTAATTTATGTTATTTTTTGTCGTCTATTGTGTTCATTGTATACAAACAAACGAAAAACTCCCGAAAAATATACACTATTTTCACGACACACACACACACACACACACAGAGAGAGAGAGAGAGAGAGAGAGAGAGAGAGAGAAGAAAAATCTATTGTATTGTCACTCACTATAGAGTTTGTTGAATGCGTTTTGAAACTCAGAAAAGTCGAGATTCTCGTCGTGATTGCTGTCTTCGTGTAGCAGTAGTTCCGTCAATAGACAGGCCGAGTCCTCGGGCTAACGGTGCCATTAGTAATAGCAGTGTAGGGCATCGCCAGTCAGTTCATTGTATTGTGTATAACATCCAAGTGTTGGTACGGGAATCGATGAGCGAAATAAATAAATAAATAGAGAATATATAAGAAATTCTTTGATTTTTTGGGTACAGAATATTCTGTGTGTTTTGTTGCCAAAGAAATTGTATCGTGAAGTGAATGCCTATGAATTATACGCTGTATTGAAATAAATACGATAGAAATGCTAACAACAAAAAACTTTTTTGTCGGTCTGTTTGGCTGACAATGTCTCAGCAAATAAGTTGTGTCGAGAATATCGTTGGAAAATATGGCAATAATTTCTGCTTATTGTACAGTATATTCTGGTTATAGTGTGTTGGAAATTAATTTATTGCTATATGCTTAGGATATGTATTTTTAATAAATATGATATACTGTGTAAGAACTTCTGTATATTTAATTAATTAATTTATTTTTTAATTATTCATCGTAGTGTTGTGTTTATTTGTGATGTTTTTAATCAAGGAAAGTTTTATTCTTTGTTATTCAGTACAGTATATCTGTTGTCTATTGTATACATTATAAAAATGCGGTCAAACTAAATCTAAACAGCAACAAAAAAAAGTGCAATAAAAGTTTATACAGAATATTGTATGGTTGTGGAAAGGTATGCCAATAAAGTAGAGTGTGGTATGACTTGCCTTGTATATATTGGAGTGTTTCCATAATTCATTAATGTTGATCTCTCCATCTCCGTCCTCATCCAGATGTGTAAACAAAAGCGATAAATCGTTGGCTGAGATTTGGAAAGTAGTTTTCCAAACAACAAAACAAATAGAAAAACAAAAAATGAAAGTAAATATCGATATTAGAGAGAGAGAGAGAGAGAGAGAGAGAGAGAGAGAGAGAGATTGTGCAATCTTATAATTTGAACATAAAAATAATAGCTAAGCCCTCAGGAATATGATAGGGTAGGGTAGTATCCAAGCACACTTTTAATTGCTATACTAGTATACCCTACGGCTATAAATGTTATTGTTATTTGAAATATAAGTATTGCATACATTTGTATAATGGCTAGGCATTTATTATAAATTTAAATAAATTTTATATAAAAATAGTTTTTTTTGGAGATACATTTCCCCCTAACAGTGCATTTTCTGTGTATTTATCAAGGATTATTCTCGTATTTCGATAGCATGTATAGACTAATTGGTAGATATCGTGTGTCACTTGACAATGGAGTGGTATATTAGCTCAAGTATTGTTAGATGGATTTACCGTGTGATAGACATATAGGGGGAACGGGAGGGTGACAGGCATTTGAGTTCAATATTGAAAAAAATTTAAAATTGAGATATTATGTCAAAATATATTTTGGACACAGAATATATATCCAGAATATTCTGATGACAACCGATAAAAGCAATTCATAAAATGCGATCACTTTTATGTTTTCTCAAAATTTCTGTATAAAAAGTATAAGAATTTTGTTTTATATTTATTATTTTGTATCTGAAAATTGGTTGTTATTGTTAGCCACATAAAACTGAGAGCCCACCCTTTGCTAAATAGACATACAGTTCCCCTTTGATGCTCAAACCCTATGATAAAAAAGCAGCAAACTTTTAGTTGTATTTTTATGGCAGAGGAATAGTCATTGAATTTAATACTATAATAGCATTTCCTGCTGTTTTCATACAATACTGGTGCCCGTCGTATAGATATAGTGAATAATGCCTCGCATTCACGCAATTCAAGTGCCTTTACTTAAAGAAATTGTTAGCCCATTAAATATACTGTTTAGACTACCAGCCCCTACCACCAGCCCTACTACCCCTCAAGAATTCAGAGACAAACTCAAGATTTCTCATATTAACGCTCACTATATACAGTATATACAGAATATATTCTGTGTATAAGAATAGGGGTTTTTATTAGATTAACTCAAGATTTACATTATTTTATGAATAGAGATGTGAAGTGAATAAACAGTTGTGTTTTCTACAGAATATTCTGTATGTGAACTCATTTCTGTCTATGTGTTGTAATACTTTTTATCATAGATATGATGAATAAATTATGCAAATAGTCTGCGAAATTATTTTCAATAATTCCCTTTCGCTACCAATTCATTGCTTTATTATTATTATAAGTATTATTAGAATAATAATAGAGAATATTCTGCGAGAATATTGAATGCATAGATAAATATACAAAATATTATATTTACGCACACTATTCTAATCTCAAACTTTTATTTTTTCATTTATACTGTTTTATTATTATTTCTTATTATTATTGAAATAATATTCAGTGAATATTCTCGATGGGAATGTGGAGATAGGGAGTGAGAGAGAGTGAGTGCAACGCTATTTGCAATCATTGTTTGAATAATGAATTTTCTTTTAGGAATCTTATTCTGTTGTTTAGTGTATAGGGAGTTCTGGAGTGCCATAAAAATTGTGTACATTTCATGGCATTCCTATAGTGCAAGATATTTTGTATATAACTTGTATATAAGTCCTCTCTCTCTCTCTCTCTCTCTCTCTCTCTCTCTCTCGACTGTCTCTCTCCTCATCGGAGACTACAAAATCGATACACGAAAAAGTAATGTATAGTAAAAATAGTGGCGAATATTCCGTCAGAAATGGCACCAAATATTGGCAGACAATAGCACTCATAATAAGTCATTCTGTCATCTCGTATGGAGAACCAGCACTTCGTAACACATGGAAAACAGTTGGTCTCACTATTGGCCCCACACTTGAGGTTAGGTGAGGTTAGGGGAGCTGAGAGTGGTTTGTGTTATATATATTGTATAAAAAGTAATATACAGTATATTAATACCAGTGCATTGAGTGCCAGAATACGGCTACGATTCTGTGTGTGTGAGTGCCGTTCACTTATCATACGAGTTGTGGTAAAACATATTAGAGTGAAAACAGATGGAAAGGGAGAGAAAGTTATGGCATATATTCTGTTCATTAAATCCGCAAATTGTGTACACATTTGGCGTAACCCTTAAAATAAAGCCTTAGTTTTATTGCCTTTATTATATCGCTCACTGCTGAGGGGTAGCCATGGGCTGTGGCACTGGCGGTTGACCACAAACATTAATATATTCCACAGAATATTCTGTATTATATAGTACCGTATATTTTACTTGTTTTAATCTAATCATGGCTTATCTGATACTATTCTGGTGTAGAGGAATGGTATCACAATTTCAGTTCAGCGAAAACCTCCCATTGAGTGCCACACCCCCTAAGAATTTGTAGATTTAATACAAATGTACTTTTCACAGTACCGGAGCTTACAAATGCATAAAATGGTCTTTCACACATTAGGGTCCCCTAAATGATAGGTCATATAAATATTAGTGCATTTTTGACGCCTCATTCCTCCCGTCAACCCCTACCCGCCCGACAATTATTTCAAATAAAACTGCATTTTATGGCATTATTTAGTGTATTATGAAATTAATTCCCATAAATGTCTAAAACATTCATAAAAACACATAGACTTGCACTAAGTAAGCTTGTTAATAGGGTGTAATAACATGTTTATGCTATTGTAGCAATGTGTTAGTATAATTATTAATTTATTAAAGTACCTTACTAAGGAATTTGGGTGAAATATTAAAGGTATTAATTTTTTTGAATTATTTTAATTTTTAAATATTTCTGTATGCAATACCGTATTCATATTCAAATAGTTTTTTACCAGCCCCTTTGCCTATTCATTAAAACATGTTTGCGTAAAATATAAAAGTTATTTATGCAAGATTAAATAAAAAATATTTAACGCTTATATCCGATATGCAAATAACAAATTTCAAATATTAATCCTAGTTTAATATTTATTTTTATAATTTTTTACGCTTGTTTAGCTAGGCATATTTATTTTTCCAAAAAATATCTAAAGTATAAATTAAATACAAATTATTTTACGTGCCCCGAAACTTGTGCTTGATACTCATGTATCGGTTATACAAACAATATTAATAGCTGTTTGCCAGCCAATTGTCTGTGACATCGATATATCGATTATGAAATGACATACTTTTGGTGAGCAGTTGTTGTTTCATGAGGTCGTACTGTTTGGGCAGACAGTCGTCCACATCGGCGGCGCCCGTGTTCTCGTTGAGCGAGTCGTCGGCGCCGGCGTTGTCGTCGGTTTGGGCGCCGGCAGCCCCTCCATCCTCCTCGTCGCGGGTACACCGGTCCGGATGGGCGGCTCTCAGGCTGTTGTCTGTCAGGCACGCGATCTTCCTGTTAGGGGTAATCAATGAATTTTAAGGCACCGGTAGTTAGGATATTGTGATATCATTATTAGGGGTATTAAGTGCTTTTGTTATGCAATACGGGAACGGTATGGTAGGTATGTGTTAAGCGCTTAATGATAATGATCGTATTAATTTGTTTTTGTATTGTTTAATGTGCTGTTGAGGGACAGGTAGGTAAATAGTGTTACGTAAGGTGCACTTATATGTGTTTATTCTGGACTAAAGGGAACGGTATGTGTATTCTTATGGTAGACTTAACAGTAATTGTTTGTTATATTTGTTGTATTCTTGAGAAACGATTTCTTAAAACTATTTTTCAAAAGACATTTAGTTTTCGTTTTATAGACACATCTCTTGAGAGACAAAAAATATTTGTAAAAATAATTATAAATTTGTTTCAAATTGACTGACTTTCGATGGAACTGGTAGGTCGTGGCATGACTTCTAATATCGTGTGTATTACACATATATGCAGGCTTTCCCGACGTGGGGACTGGTAGTCGGAGTGGGTGGGCATTGCCTTATAGACTGATGACAGCCATAGTAATTGACTTATAATTGCTATCAAATTACTGGCCCTTAAAAAGCGGTAACTAATGATTGATTGCCATTAGATGTACAGGAAGTGCACTCTTATCGTCGATAATATTATGTTAGCGAAAATTATTCACATATTTTCCCAATTCAATGGGAACGGTAGCCTAAAGTGGAATGTTATGCAACTGTTCGCCTATTGTCTACCCTTTTGCATAAGTATTGTGTAAGGCTTTCCCTTTCTATTTGCTGAGGCATTTAATACACAATTTTCTTGTTGTAAACTTTTCGGTAACAGTTATATTAAATAACAGTTCTCTCTCTCTCTCTCTCTCTCTCTCATAACTCACTTATAAATACTCGTATATAATATTGAGTGTAATGTGAAAAATAAAATTTTTTATCCACCCATTCATAGATCCCCAGACCCTCTATCAGGTCATCGATTCTCAATTGAATACATATTAAGCAATAATATTCCGTACATTAGGACTGAGAATATATTGAATACTATAGAATATTCTGCACAAAATATTCTCCATAACTGCATATCAAATATCACTATTGAATAATAAGGTCTCATGTATTCAAATGCTCGGCGAATACTCTTTCAATAAGAGAGTAGACATTAATTCAGCAAAAAATACATTAGTCTTCAGCAGCAAAAAAGTTTTTGAATTTTAATATCAAATACCATTAGATGTGAAACACATTACATATTATATATATTTGTATCTCAAGAAAAAATAAATATAAAGAGTTTATAAATCCATAAGTTTTTTTTGTAGCTTTTCTATGCTTTCATATACTCATACAGAATATTCTTGAGATTTCATAAAAATTTTGTTACATATTAATGAAAATGTAATTCAATTCGCGATTCCGATGGCAGAAGTGAATCCCATTTTTCTCATAACACTAAACACTATAAACACTTCGCAAACACTTGTATATAATGTTGCCGTAAATGACACAACACTTCAAACACTCGAACCATTAATTAGATATTTTTGATAGATTTGTATATTGCCTGCAGTGGTGACAGTTACTCGAGATCAGGCATACCAGTGCTGTTACGCTGTCGGTGCAGCTGATGTTTCGCATATTGAATGATACGAGAGAGAGAGAGAGAGAGAGAGAGAGAGAGAGAGAGAACTGTTATTTAATATAACTGTTACCGAAAAGTTTACAACAAGAAAATTGTGTATTAAATGCCTCAGCAAATAGAAAGGGAAAGCCTAGAGAGAGAGAGAGAGAGAGAGAGAGAGAGAGCAACGGATAACACTGTTAAATGAGTGGAGAGAGTATAAGTTTTGAGATAAGAATTCAATTTATATATACTTTACTCGCGAAATGAAAAATAAAATATAATATATAAGTATTTCCGGCATTAGAAGTGCCACTAATAAGTGTGGGGAATGGTAGGCAATGGTCGTTATCTGTATCGTATATAAAAAATAGTGAAAAAGTAGGCATACCTTAAATGGCATCTGGAATCGTAGAGTTTACCATCCGTGCCACAGACCTTATGCTTATGTACCGGACATTTCTGGACCACTGGACACGAGTACTTGTGGTGCTATTTATATAGATTTATACATACATTACATATAAACACAGCTATATATATATATTTTATATATAATCGTAATCATAATAAGCTCGTAATGTATATAAATAATATAAGAATCGTAAATAAATGTAAAAATATAGAGCAATATAATGCCATAAATCATAGGAATTGATGGAAAATATTGTCGCTATTTGTATGAGAAATATACGCTAAAATCGATAAGTTGTGTGAATAAAAGTATTTTCCATTTTAATAATATATTATTTATGTCTAGCAATGAATTCATTGCTAATATAGTTTTTTTTGTGCCCAATATTCAATCGTAACGTGTATTATGTAGTCATTGCATGCATTCGTAATGGTTTTTATGGAAATATATATTTTATATTGCTAATAAATAATCTATTCGTAGATTTATTTTGATAGACAACAAAATCTGGTTTACAATTTTTATGTAATAAATAGTTTTGAGTTTATAATGGATTTTTAGAAAATACAATATGATATAAAAATTTTGTTTGCCTTTCTAAATCCTATTTAGTATTAAAGCTATTTTTAATTATCGTATACAAGCTTAATATTTTGTAATCCCTAATATAAAAATAGATTTTCTGATTGAAATTTATAGAGAAATCCGCGAAAACTCATTACACAACCAGTGATAGATACTACTATTTACTCTCGGTATAGTGTACACCAATAATTATGTATATACCAGATTAAATTACTGTTAATTTTGTTAGGTAATAAAAATATTATTTTAAAATGCTAAAGTAAAATAATTTATAATACTGTACGTAATTATGAACACTATTAAGTTATATTATTTTAACGCCATGAATAGTGTACTGATATCTACTGTACAGTACATTACTGGTAGCGATAGAGACAGTGGGAACTGGAGGACTGGGAGATCGCGAATTAGTCACTAATGGAAACAATATATTTAATTTCCAAACCAATACTGAGAGTATCGACTATTGACTATACGATTGACTGTTTGTATTGTGTCTCGTTGTGTAGAGATTACGAGTGAAAAAACATACATTAACTGAATTAAATGCACAACAAAAATATAACAATTACTTTCACTGATATTAAATACATGGCTTACCTTTGACTGTATGGACACAATTAAAACGCTTAACACGACTAGCGTTGCCAACAAAATGCTGTTGCGATCCATAATTAGTAGTATATTTGGGTATTGTTTTTATTTTTATTTTGTCACACGTGAAGCACTAAAATAGTATTTTTTGGATACAATTCGCGACTAAAAGTGTAAATAGTTTTTCACATAAAACACAATTTTGTTACGAAAAAATCACTTAATTTTTAATAGTATAGCAAAAAATGGGATTAAGTTTTGCTTTTTTCTACAATTGTTTATTATTACACACTCTATGTAAGCAGGACATACACCACTGCCATTCAGCTACCAGTGCTCTCACTGTATATATCGCTGAGCTCTTTCTCTCACAGCTTCTCCATCTCTCACATACAGTTCCACTGTTTTCTGCGAAATACGAGTATTTATTTCTCTCACTCTCAGAGCATCTCCAGTGATAACTGAGAGGACATGGATGCCATGCGATGGATATGGGCACTGGTATGTGGTATGCAATGACACACACACTCGCACTCACTGCTAATGACCAGCACTGGTAGTGAATAAGACTATCTGCGCGACACAAACGCCGTACACATTAGACATCGGGAGAT